AGCATTCTTCTTTGTATGTTGCAAGCTCCTGGAAAGACTCCTTGAAATTGTGAAGTCTTCCGAGAACACTGAGGTTAATTTCTAACAGAAATATAAAATTTTACCAGTCGAATAAGCACCATAGCGAGACCCGTCTCTACCAAAAAACAAACAAACAAACAAACAAAAAAATTAGCCAGGCTTGGTGGTGTATGCCTGTAGTCCCAGCTACCTGGACAGGAGAATCGCTTGAGCCCAGGAGTTTGACGCTGCAGTGAGCTATGACAACACCACTGTACTAGCCAGGGCAACAGTGTGAGACCCTGTTTCAAAAAAATATAAAAAAAATTTTAAAAAAAATTAAGTGGAACTATACTGTTTATAGAAACCAGAGAAACATTTATGTTAAAATACCTCAAGCATAAATTCTTTAACAAATCAAATATTGTACAAGAACTAAATATTCGTTTTTAATACTGATGGTGCTCTGGTCGCAAAAAAGTGTTTTACGGCCATTCAAGGAAAAGCTTCTCTTACTTGGCTTTAGAAATATAGCCAGGAAAATAAAAAGCTCCCTTAACTCAACAGAACTTTTCCCACTACTTCTAACCCAAAGAGGAGAGAAATATTTTAAGATATTAAAAAACTACACATCAAGAACTACCAATTAACAAGCGTTTTTCTATGTACCTGGTAGGTACTATGCTACACATTTTAGATACAATTCATTTAATACTCCCAAGAGCCCAACAGAAGAGCTTCTATCGCACATGTGGGGTAAAAGGAGGCTCAGAGAAATAAAACAACTTGCTCCAGATCACATAGACAACACATGGCTGAGTCGATACTCAGACTCTGGTCTGCCTGATTCTAAAGCCAGAATATCTCTTAGTAAAACCAAGTATTTCTGGCAGTATTTCATAGAGGACAATGGTTTGGAATCAAGCTATGGAACACTGGGGAGTGAAGAAAGGATGACAGCAAACCCAAACAACTTGACATCTGACAGGTAAATGGGATTTTAGAAAAAGCTTTTTAACAACTTTCACAGACCCTAGTATCAGTAGAAATAGCTTTAGTTTTTATACACTGCTTTCCTTCCCATTTTAAGTCTTAAAATATGCTTAGAGACAGAAAGTAGAATAGTGGTTGCCAAGGACTTGGGAGGGAGGAGGAAATGGGAAATTGTTTAATGGGTAGAGAGTTTTAGTTTTACAAGATGAAGAGTTACAGAAATGGATGGTGATGATGGTTGCACAACATTATGAATACACTTAATACAACTGAACTACACGCTTAAAAATGGTAAAAATATAAAATTTTATGTTATGTATATTTTACCACCATAAAAAATGGGGGAAAAAATGCTCAGAAATGTAGACAGAGATGCCAAGCTTAAGTCCTACAAGACTTAAAAGGTCAGAATTCTAAAATCCTTAAGTGGATCCTGATAAAGAATACTTAAATTTAAGCTGGGCGTACACCTGAAGTCTCAGCTACTAGGGAGAGGCTAAGGCGGGAGGGTCCCGTAAGCCCTCGAATTCAAATCTAGCCTGGAGGCTCCTCAACAGGAGGACTCTGTCTCTCTATTAAACAAACCAACCAACCCTTAAATTTGTAGTTTTACCAGTTTTTGGCAGGCACCATTTCAGCAATCTCAATTCTTGCTACCTCCAAGTTCCAATCTAATTTTCAGAACTGATAGTTTCCGGTTAAGCACGCAAGGTTTTGCTGCAGTGAGAAATGCAAAATCTATAGTACTCTGCACTTTATTGCTGACGGCAATTGAAAAAGCTGGAAAGCTGGAAATCAGAAAGGTAGTTTAGCAAACTGTAAAACAAAGTGCATTCAAGGTCTGGTACAATCAACTCTTGATAATTTGGAATTTTGTTTTGATTTGCACTGAACAACAATGCAGTTGCTGGTTCTCTCCTTGGCTGCTAGGGACATAACTTTATAGACCTGCGGTAAAAAAGCAGCCACTCAATATCGCTTCCTGACAACTCAACTGGTTATTAAACACGACTACAAAATAAATTTATGGGGAAGACTAATTATTAAAACCATGTTGTTACTAGATTATAACTGTTCATTTTAAGCCTACCATTTATTTCACCTGTGACCCAGGTGATTTAGAGTTTAGATGTATTACCCTGAGGTGTTTCAGACTAAGGAGAAGGTTCCTTACACAAGTACCAAAGCAGGACAAGACAGGCTTTCCATAGGTGGCAATATTCTATAACGCTTAAGCACTGAGACATTTGTTGATGTGAACATAATTCAAATAACAATGGAAATGATCACTGAAGAGTATCTGATCAACTATCCTACCATACCGCTAAATTTCAGAGATCCCAATAACCAAGAACTACTGATCTGATGAAATTAAAATAATATTGACTCTGTGGAACAGAAGAAGCTTTTGCACAAACTATGTCACTCCCTGCCTGGTTCTCTATGAAATTTCCCCACTCACTCCAGATTCATGTATAAATGAACACACAAACTCACCAACAGGCTTTAAAAACTACCTTTAGGAAACTGAGCAATACTTTCTATGTACTTTTACATGAATATAAAGTCAAATGGAAAATTCCAAAAAGTCAGATGTAGAACATGTCCCTTAACAGTAAAGGGACTTTATATTAGGAAGTTTAAGAGATGCACAGTGCTATCTAGTAGTCTCTCATATCATATCAGTTTTGGAGTCCATCTGGGCAAATGGGTAACATTTCCATTTGCTTTTTGATATGTGAAATTAATAGCATTTTAAAAGAATTTTACTTTTGATGACTTTTTAATCTGATTGTTTAAGGAATTCCCAAGTATCAAAATTTAACACGTACTATGTAAAAGTCTAACTTGAACACTTAATGTCACCAGAAGGCTGGCAAATTTGCCTAAACGCAGAATTTTTAAAAATTCCCAGGCCCAGTAAAATAAGACCATCTCGCTGTAGTCCCAATGCAAATAAAACTCCTTGGAACTGCCTTGAACCACTCCATTTAAGTATAGTTTCCCTGGGTCCTTCTGAACAATTTTTTTTTTTTTGAGACAGAGTCTCACTCTGTTGCCCTGGCTAGAGTGAGTGCCATGGCATTAGTCTAGCTCACAGCAACCTCAAACTCCTGGGCTCAAGCAATCCTCCTGCCTCAGCCTCCCGAGTAGCTGGGACTACAGGCATGCACCACCATGCCC